TAGGACCCCAGAGATCCCTGAGATATGGAGGGACTTCTGGGAGCAGAGAGGAGAGGAGCTTCCATCGCCAGTCAGAGCCGGGTTTGGGGTGGCCAGGAAGGCGGAAGAAAGGCTAGATCATAAAATCAAGTTCCTGGCCAAGACCACTTTTGACCGACACTTGTTATTGGAGGGCGATCTGGCGGGGAAGAAAATGAAGGAAGCCAGCCATGGAGTATGTCTGGAGGCTATGGAGATGAAAATTCAGGAACTTAGGGCTTTGGTGGCCAGCCAGGCAGCTATCATTGAGAGCCTGAAGCAGCAAACCCAGGGAAAAGTGGACAGACCAGAGAGCAGCCGGCAGGGAGAGCAGAGGCAGCCAGGACAGGGACTGCCAGGACAGCCATCTGCGACAGAGCCTCGCGAGGAGCCACTTATGGGGAGGGTTATCCTGGAGTCAGAGGAGGCGAGAGCACAGAGACAGGCGGAGAGAGAGGCATTCGAGTTCAGAGCCCCTACTGAGCTCGCGACACTGCCAGTAGCAGCGGCGGGCCCAGTCGTACCTTTGGCAGTAGAGGAGAGGCTGCCATCATCTAGCAGTGAGCCGGCTCAGGGCTCAGTAGAGGAATCCATGGGCGTGCTCCTTGAGGCGGTGCATACTATGCAGGAGGAGGTGAGCTTGTTTTTACCTGAGCAGAGGATAGAGGAGCCTCTTGAGAGAGAGATGAGGATTGAGGAGGAGGGTGCCATCGAGGGCAGACTCCAGAGGATAATCACACCTGAGTATGGACCAGAGGAGATTGAGGAGCAGCCCACGGCAGTGCCAGAGGCGACACTCGAGAGGAGGCCTCAGAGGTTGGACACGCCCGAGTACGTCCCAGGGACAGAGGATTTGAGAGGCAGACTAGGATCTTGGGCTACTGGATCTGGGTCTGGTGGACCGGTTCCGAGGACAGAGCAGCAGGGGGGTGTCGGTACCTTGGTGGGATCTCCTTCATCGTCACCTCCTCAGCCCAGGAAGAGGAAGTTCAAGAGAAAGGTAGATCAGCTATGTTTTTACTGCAAAAGAGACGTGCATCTGGCTTTGGACTGTCTTGAGTTTCTTGAGGATAAGGCAGCAGGGAAGATCTCAGAGGTAGGGGGTAAAATGTATGATAGACAGGGTAGGATAGTAGAGAAGTCCGCAGATGGACTTAAAACTCAGTTATATAGGCAAAACCAGGAGGAGTTGAGGAGGTAGGGCTCGGTTTTGTCTATATAAGTGAGCGAGCATTTTGTGAGGCATCAACTTAGGTTCTGTGTGATACCCTYTTWGACTTMGAAGAYATTTTGATGATTGYTGTTAATYTAKATCYGAACTCTAGTGTTTCTACTGAGTTGGGGTTTTGAGGGTCAGGGTGGTTTAGATGACGCATGTACATATTTAGGTGGCCTACGCCCTGGCCTTTGAGAGACAGATCTGACATGTATTTTAGGGATAGTTGTCAGTGTGGGTTTGGTGTGGCTTGAGTTGAGCAAGCTATGATTTGGGGACACTTTCTGTGTGAGACATTGTACTTCCTGAGTGTACATTATGATGAGGTTTCCTTCAGGGACCATTCTTATATGTGACGATCACTTGTCTCTCTCACATGTGTGGTTGTACTCTGATGTATGATGAGTTTGTGTGGACAATGTGTGAAAAACTTTTTGTGTATCTTGGGTATTGTGAATATGATTGTAAGTAAAATTGTCTACTCCTCGGTATACTTGTACGACCTGCCCACGGCAGCTGATAAGGCAGAGTATAAGGGGAGGAAGCGTAGTCCGTCTATGAAAATTATCTAAGTTGTGATGAGGACCCATAAGATGGTCTCTCAGTGATGTTCTGTTTTATGATGGGACCCCCCTTAGATTTTGGGAAAGAGGGGATGTTTTGTGATGTTTTGTGATGTAACGAAACCCCTCGTAACTTTGAGAGAGGGGGTGTTTGGTTTATGATGAGACCCTTGTGATTTCTGGAAACGGGAATGTATTGTTTTATGGCGAAACCCCTCGCGATTTTTGGAAGAGGGGGTGTTTTTGGTTATGAAGAGAGCCCCTTTTGGATTGTTGGAAAAGGGGAGTGGTTTTTGGTTGGAAGACTCATCCTCAGAAGTSAGTAAATTGATTTATGGCATGACGAGTTGTTCGATGGGTGATAAAGTCTGACGGAAAGGGGCCACTTTTTGTTTGAAATGTTTGAGAAAGTCGCAATGAGTACAGGGCGAGAGATGTCTCAAGGTGGGTGGCTGCTGACTCTGATCAAGTCAGGGGTCACGGCCTGGTGGATTTAGCGGTGATTTTGTTTGTAAGCGTGCGAAAGAGGTCCTGAGACATATTGAAGAAAGGCCAAGCTAACGGAAAAGAAGTTAGTACCTCTAGGGCGTAACCCCATTGGATGGCTGCTAACCGGCGCAACCTGGTTGCGGGACCATGGGGTAAGAGTTTAAGGGGAGTTACCCGCCCCAGGGAAATTACTCCGTGGGATAGTGAAGGTTGAGATTTTGGGAGGTCTTGATTAGGTGCCTATCAGGAGAAACCCTATCGTTGCGTAACCAACGAGGGTACTGCCGTTAAATAACAATGCGGTAGGTCGTAGTCCTGGTCCGATCAACCAGGCTATGGTGGGCCAAGATGGAGACCTGGCCTTTCTGTACTAGACTGCAGAAAGAGCGGAGTGAATATTAAGTTTACATATATACTTATATGTATTTGATTGCGAGAGATTTTGAAAAGGACGGCGAGAGTGCCTTCAAAGGTCTCGGTTAAGGCCCGCGTCCCTAGTTTTTGCCAGGACTAGGGACACCCAACGAGAAGCCGAACGTTGTCTAGGACCGGGGAGAGGACGATTGGGAAGGTCTTTGGAACTTATGCTGCCAGTGTCCTAATTTCTGGACGGTGTGAGGCCCAGATTAGAAACCTGGCAGCATATAGTTGTGAAGGCATGGTTTGATGGAGGCCTCTACCCTGTGTTTGTCGGCTAATCAGATTGGCTCACTTCTTTCGTCAGCATTTGGAGTGTGAATGGATTTATAGCTTTCAGATTTTGCGAAGCGATGGGGACGTCGCTTAATATGGTCCGGTAAGGCTGTCGGTGCGAATACCCTTACAAGGGTATCCGCCCTGGTTTTTGCAAGTAACAGAAAATTGTTTGGTTTAAAGTTTAAGTATACCACGCTAAGCGCGGCTGCGTTTGTAATTGCGTTGACTGGGTGGTTGACCACAATAGCAAGTGCGTGGGCGCGCAGGTTTAAGGCGCGCGGGATTCTTTTCTGTTGTTGATCGTAAAGCCGGCCCGGACCTCGGTCGTTTTGCTTAGTGATATTATTATTTATTTATTTTTGATTAAGCAGGAATTAAGGATATTTTCGTTTGATTGGTACATTTGACCGAGTCAAGCGCGCGTGCAGAGAACGACCCCGACGACGGCATCGGCAATAACGGCGCGATTTCGTGCGGTGAGCGGGATGTCATAGGACGACAACGCGGGGCAATTATGGCACGGTGTGAGCAAGCCAGCGCGGGCACTAGGAGCCACACAGCCGTTTGCTGGCCCAAAGCGTCGCGCCACACTACCTCGTATGGTACTCTCCGGGCACTAGTCTCAGGCTTGGGCTTAGCCCTATAGGTTACGACATTTGGGTTGGCAATACAGAGGTTCGGGGATCGAGGCCGGCGGACGCCGGCGCGGCAGCAGCAGAGCGGCGTGGAGGAAACCGAAGGGTTGAGGGCCCTGTGGGGCTATTCCCCCCGGTTTTGCTTACGGGTGCGGCGGCGGGACCAGCGACCCCGCGGTTCCCCGACGTTACTGYTATTTTATTTTATTTTCCCCTTTCTGTTCTGTKCGTCRGCTACGGTAGGAGCGCGTGGGGGGGGGGTGTTATATTCGCAGATTGCCTGGAGTGCAATTACAAACTGTTTTCGCGACCACGCCTGAGCTGCCCATGTTTTTATATAATTTTTGTTTACCTGTTTTTCTTAAAACCGCGCCTCGTTTTGCCTTGGGACATGGCGTAGTAGGGGGTGACAGGCCCCAATAGCCTATCTTAGAGGGTACACCGTTGAACTGTCGAAAAACGGACTGCGTTTAAACCCAGATGATGGGCCTTGATGAGTAAAAGTCGAATATTCTGAATTGACTAAGGGCCGGGGCTGATTGACCCCGTGGCCCGGGTTATGTCCTTCCGGACATCCGTTAAACTTGAAATAATGTAGAGAAGGTTGGCGTGGCTACGGGCGCTAGGCGCCGTAGTGGGCAAAGTCACGGGCAGTGGGTGCACCCGCGAACTGTCCGAAACACTGGCCGAAAGGCTTTGGCACTACGACGAATGAACCTGTCCGAGGTTCTGCCGCAGGGGTACATGTGAAGCGGGTGGGTAAAACCCGGCAGGATCAGATAACAACAATGCTGGTATGCCGACTACCTCGTCGGACTTGGGTATAGGGGCGAAAGACTAATCGAACCGTATAGTAGCTGGTTCCCTCCGAAGTCCCTCTCAAGCCGGCTGACTGTCGGGGCAAACGATAGTGCAGCGTGGGTGGCCGGCGCTGTGAGAGCAAAGGCGGGGTGGTACAACGACGGATGAACCCGGACGTGGGCGGGAGCCGGGTGCGGGCGGTGATAGGGAGGACTGGCGATGGAGTAAGGGAGTTGGACAATCGAAGGTGAGGCGGTCGGGCGCGCATCGGAGCGGACGGGCAAAGTCGGGCAGAGCCCAAGCAGCAGAGAAAAGGGGGGGGAATAAGAAAATGAATCTGGCGCTATTCTGCGCCCGATACATTCGATGGAAAGGAGACGAAGGAAAGAACGGGCTTGGACGCYGGTTGTGCAGAGTGYGACCGGGACGGGGCAGCAAGAGAAAAGTTAGTCAAGAGCGAAGTATGATTGCAGCACGGAACGAAAGTACCTGGGCGGGATCCGCGCCAAGGTGCATTCGAATGTAAAGGTGAAGATGGCGGAGTGGAACGGGAGCCTGGCGGAAGGAGGATTCGAGTTCTCACCMGATTCTTAAGGAAATCGGGTGAACCAAGGATCAAGGTTGGAGGTTTCGGGTCGGGCGAACCCGATTTTTGAGTTAGTTTTGGATGGAAATTAGCGAAGAAGGAGATTAGAAGAGAATGGGATGCGCGGAAATGGCAGGAGCAAAGAAGGAGAGTGAGGAGGAATCATGGATCTTGCCCGTTTCTTAGCGAAAATAAGCAAGGGAGGGTTCGTTTCTGGGGGTTTGGAGTACTGCGAGTTAGAATACGCGGTTAGCTTTGGGAGAAAGTTAGTGAGTTAGGGGGTAGAAGAAGAAGGGGGTGAGTGGAGGTTCGTGCAAACGGGATATGGCGGGAGAAAAAGGGGGCGAGGCATACTCGTTTTGACGGGAATGGAGGAATGGAGACCGTAGGCAAGGGTTTCAATAGCGGACGAATCCGATAGTAACATCGGATCTGAAGGGCGGTGAGTGATCTTAGTTATAAAGGAGGTGGGGGCTGCGCCCAAGTAGGAAGGCCGCTTCAAGGTGGCATGAATCTTCCCGCATTTCGGAGAAGATTCACCCCCTCTCATAAAGGGGCGGTCTGGCAGGACTTAGCGAAGAGTCAGGAGCGGAAGGAGAGCAAGGTTGGCAAGAGAGAAGAGGAAGTGAGAGGGAGGATGAGTGAAAGGGGGACACACACCTAACAGACGGAGATGCCCATTCGGATGATCCAAGAATCAGACTATAGTGGCGAACTACAGCGGCCCACCCCGATATTTCGGGGAATTAGCAACTACGGAGCAGGCCGCGGGTGCGGGTACCTGCCAGCCGGGGAATCTCCCTCCTATCGGTCGAAGTAACGAAAGCAGGCCGTAGCGGGAGGGACGATTTGCCCTGTAGCTTGGCCGTAACAGCAGTGCACGTCCCGCTCGTTAGCGGTATTTTCGTTCGGATCTAGCGCATCCGGCTAAACCAAGGAGTGGGGTAAAGCCACCCATAGTGGTTGCGAGACTGTGCGTTAGCAGGAACGCGTGGCCTGTGGGCCAAAACAACAGCAGACTGCGGATGGAGGCGGACCTGATAGTTTACTGAGCGACGAAAAACAGACTGCGAAGCTGCTGCGTTTTTTATTGCTTTTTGCAGCGTACGCCGCAGTTTGTCTCAGCTATTGGGCAGCAGCAGCGGTTGCTGAGCCTGCTATGGACTATTGTGGTGTTTGGAGTGTGGCCATCTAAACGCCGGGAGGCCACGCTACCGCAGAGGGCGAAGGTAGGCACTTGGGTTACAAAACTGTTGCGGATGCTTGGAGGAGTAGTTGTGAGGGGGAGGGCG